GAAATCTTCAAAACTAAGTTTCTTTACTTTTTGTCACAGGTGATAAATGCATATTTGGACACGTTGACGCTCGAAAGCAACATCGAAGCCAACACTGGCTACCGCTGTTTCAATATTTCTACATACATGCCTGTGCTCTGGGAACGTGACAGATTTGATGCCTGGATGTTTGAAAAGGTGATTATGACTAGTGTAAATCTTACAATATTTACATTTTGCTATGTTAAAGGGATAATTCACCCAAAAATGAAAATTGTAATTTACTCACCCTTATGTTGTTCCAAACCTGTTTGAGTATCTTTCTTTTTGTTCAGCACAAAATATATTTTTAATAATGTTAATGATAATGATAATAATGATATCTACTGATGGCAGTCAGTGACTTTCTTTTTTTTCTACTATGGAAGTCAACGGCTACCATCAACTGTCTGGTTATCAACATTCTTCAAAATATATTTTGTGTTTAGCAGAAGAAAGAAATTTATACAGGTTTGAAACAACATAAGGGTGAGTAAAGATGACAGATTTTTCATTTTTTAGGGGAAATATCCCTTTAACACAGGTAGTACCTACTTTGTCATCTGAACATAGAGACAATATGCATTCCTTTTCATTAGTATCTAAAAAATGAAATGCTTTTATAGTAAAATTGAATTGTAGTGAGATTCAGAAATTGTTGCATCAATGGTGGTATATTTAAAGGCATGTTTAATGAGTCTTTAATGATTAGTTAACTCAAAAATTAAAATTCTGTTATTTGCTCTCTCATATTATTACTGCTGTATAAGAAGTCGCTGAGAGCGTCGTTAAGGGTAACGGCAGCAGACAGCGCACACGAAGCGTGCTCTGTGGGGGCCCCGCTGGGCATTACTGGTGTAGCACCACCCCAGCAGAGCACGTCCCTGGGCTAGAGGTCCAGTGGCACCGTAAACCGGCTCAATCTCTTCCATCTCAGATAGGGGTGGACCAGTACTACTTTATTTGATTTTTTATTCTAAACTGTTTTAATTATTCTTACTTGTTTTGATTATTTTAATTTCTTCTATGTAAAGCACTTTGAATTGCCATTGTGTATGAAATGTGCTATATAAATAAACTTGCTTTGCCTTGCCTATTTCAAAACCATATGACTTCCTTCCTGGAAACGCAAAAATGTCAGACTTGCCATTCAGTATAACTACATTTTTAATTGCAGTGAATTGCAACCATTTCACAGTTTTTTTTTTCTTGATGTCTGTAAGCAATAAGGTACACAAGGCTGTGCTGTATTGTGAACTCTTCGCGCCTAACAACGTCCTTCAGCCTTGACTTATTCACAATACAGCACTAGACTTGATTACCTTGTTGCTTTTATAAAATGGTTGCATGGTGCCTGTTCTGAGATGGCTATGAATGGTGACCCAGCTTTTGATTGATGATTTCTGCCACACAATACAAATATTGGAATGTATCTAACCGTTTTAAAATTCGTTCCAAGATGGCGTTCTCCCGAATGAAGTGGATTTTCCTTCCAATCCATGTGAGGGGCAATCACTGGATACTTCTGGTAGCAGATGTTCCAAATATGGAAGTATCAGTACTAGACTCATTTTTAGGAAACAATGTCACATATGTTGATATGTGGAGGTAAGCTAGAGGATTTTTACAAATTGAGTAATGTTACTGTACATGTCTTTTAAATCATAGTGTAGTGTCATACTGTACATATTTTCACTCCAACAGAACTAAGTTCTTCTTGCTTATTGGCTTACTTGCTTATAGTGTTCGCGGCGCGCCCCATGTATAGCGTATCATCACAGTGCATGATGGAAAACAGAAGTGCAATATATACTTTTTTATTATTTTGGCGCTATTATTCACAGCAGAGTGAATGACGCGTGGCTCTATAGGTTGTGTGAAGGCAGCTTTCTGCTACTTGCAAACAGACTCTTTTATAAAGATGGCTAATTGAACTAGGCCACATTAGAAATACTAATTTTTACCTTGTAAATAATTGAATGTATTCCACTTATTTACTCAGGAAGTATATGGCTGTGAGGTACACAAAGACGAAAGAATTGGGAGGATTCTGGAGAAATGGTGGTCTCTGCTCTGCATCACAAAAAGATGGAAACAATTGTGGAGCCTTTGTACTACTGGTAAGGCATTACAGCCAGAGCTTTTCTTTTTGTAAGAATTTTTTTTAATACATAATGACTCCTTTTATGTGGCATTCAATATTTTAAATTTATCTGTCCAGAATGCTCTTGCCCTGACCAGAGGTATCAGTCCCAGCCAACTGACACAACGGCATGCAGTGGAAATGAGGAAGTTTGTGTGCCACAAACTCAAGCAAAATGCGTTATGCTAATATTTGTACTCTTCTTTCCCCGAGTGCTTTTCCTACTTTTTGGCCCCCCGCATCCCTTCAATTCTACTCCCCTTCCCAATTTTTTTGTAAATCGTATATTTTATTTATTTATTTATTGTAAACATATTTTTCTCTTAAATATGTTGGTTCCCTTGCATATTGTAAATAAATAGTTTGTGTGCAATTCAGTTCAGACCTGTATATATATTTATACATAATTTATATTATATATACCGGTAAATATTAATACTTTATAAATAACACTTTTCTTAAATATATGCATGTGTGTGTATTTATATAGACAAAATAATTATACACAGTGCACACATTATTTTGGATGAGATTTATTTATTGCCCAGCACAATTGTTTTGTAAATCGTATATTTTATTTAATTATTTATTTATTGTTTGTTTGTTTGTAAACATATGGTTCCCTTGCATATTGTAAATAAATCGTTTGTTTGCAATTCAGTTCAAAAATCTTCCTTGCTTTGTACACCTAACCTGGTAATGACAGGTGTTTTTTTTATGTTTTTATCTAAGCCAACAGATGTGATTGAGTCATTTCTATTTTTAAACTGCTCTCTAGAAACTTTATTTTTGCATGAACAGTACTTTTAATGTAGCTAAACTGGAATACAATGTTAATATAGTTAAGATTTATTACTAATGATAAATAAGTATATGTATAGTATATTAATAGTAGGCTACTAGTGATTACAATATCACTAAAATAGGTCTGACATCACACCAGTGAAATATAATTTCATCTCAAATTACACTGAAAAATGTAAGCTGTGTTAAAGTCAATGGCTACCAACATTCTTGTTAAATAGAAGAACAAGTTTAGAACAACTTGAAGGTGAGTAAATAAAATAAATTAATACTTTTATTCAGCAAGGATGCATTAAAATGATCAAAAGTTACAGTAAAGACATGTATAATGTTACAAAATATTCTATTTCAAATAAATTTAGCTTTCTATTCATCAATTAAAATAAATAAATTGTACACAACAGTTTAATATTGATAATAAATAATGTTTTTGAGCATTAAATTAGCATTAAAATGATTACAAAACTTATCGCTCCCAAAACTTTTGAGTGTGTGTGTGTGAGAGAGAGAAACATGATAAAACATATGTATACAACGTGACCCTTGAACACCAAGCAACAGTGTCAGGTGTTCTGATCTTAGTTACATTATTGCCAATACGCGAGAAGAAAAAAAAGAAGTTTTTTTTTTTTACGTTTAACATTATGATATCATTCGTGCTTGAACTGAGTGAAAATGAAACTTAAGCAACGAGTGCTTCTGCGCGATCATGACGCTTTTACAACTAATTCATGTTTTGCCTTTGCGGTATTCCCGGAGCAAGTAAACTGCGCATGCTCCATGACCTTGCGAACAAACCACGCCCCCGTGTTGTCGTCAGACTCGAAACCGTGTTTCTCAAAACCAAGAATGCAAAGAACGGACTTGTGTTCTTGGGGAGAACGCTCTTGCTAGTTGTTCTTGGAAGAATGAACTCACAAGGTGACGAGCACACAGAACGCTGCTGACAGTTTGAGACGATGTGTTCTTGCTGGTATTGCGCAATAATTCCCCCGCACAGACACCGTCTGCAGTACCCAAACATAACGAGAATTATTGACGATAACAGCCAGGCTGCAATGGTCTCTTGGCTGTGGGGAAAAACAAGTCTGTGAGCAAACTGGCCGGTTGGCTCGATAGCTAACGTTACACCCGCAGGCGCTTATGGAGATTCTCACTTCCGAAAACGTTTGAGCACATTTTCGATTAGCCATACATTTTCGTAAAATGCCAATATTTGAAATCTACACAGTTGATTTCTCGCATCAAATGTTCTCAGAAGTGAATTTTATGGAAGTTTTTTCCTAACATAATTAAAATTAAAATTAAAATGCTTAAAATATCAAATAATAAATCAAAGTCTCAAAACAACTGCTCAAATGATGAATCAAATGGTCAAATTATTAAATAATAAATCAAAGTCTCAAAATGGCTGCACAAATGATAAATCAAATGCTCAAATGCAATTTCATTTCCTCAATCGTGGAAGCATGAACTGTATCAAAAATCAAGTTAAAACTCATTTGTTTTTGATTTTTAATTTTCATTATCAACCCAGTATAAACCTGTCATAATTAAATCTATAAGTCAATGCTCAAATCATAAATCAAATGGACAAAATATAAATCAAATGCTCAAACCAACATCGAAAATGGCAAATCTAATGCTCAAACGGACATCGCAAATGATAAATCAAATGCTCAAACGGTAGCCGGAAACAGCAAATGATAATTCAAATGAAAATGAGGAATGTCAATCAAGTTGCGTGGGCGGAGCTTTGAGCTCAAGATCGATGACAAACTGACAATGTTTATACAAGATATAATTTTACATTTGCGTGCCCTTTCCGAAGATGTGTCATTGGGAAGCTTTGACGAAAAGGTTTTGGAGTCCACGGTGGAATATATTCTGGAGAGAATGGGGGAAATATCGGCCCTTACGGACACCGATGTCAACAATGTTGCGATTGCGAACCTGCGCGAGGTACTGAGGCAACTGCAGGTGCAAAAAATCAGAAGAACGCCAGGGAGACCAAGTCAAAACATCCCTGCAGAGACCATCGAGACGTATCTTTTGCGAGGTATAAAGGCTGCGGAAATCGCAAGATTGTTTGGTGTTTCGGAGATGACAATACGTCGTCGAATGCGTGAATATGGAAAAAGGTAAGTCTCGTATGGGACTTTTTGTGCGTTATCCCAAAATTGCAGTTAAGTTAGTTAAATAAGTTGCAGTTAACTAAGTTAGCCTAGTTATTGGAGAAATTATTCACCGAATGATTCACTAATGTTACGTCTGATCCATTTCTGTCAGAACAGGTCTGTGCAGTTTGATTTGAATTAAAAGCCCTTAGTCTTAATCTTTGCTAAGGGACCAATAACCAAATACTACGTTTTACGTTCCTAGCAGATTTCACAGACATGGCTCACAGAAATGTAATATTCAAGCAGCTTTATTAAAATGCCTTAGATAAAACGGTAACACTTTAGAATACGGTTCCTTCGTTAATGAATAACTACACAGGAACAAATGAGTAACACAATATTAACAATCTAGTAACTACTATTAACTAACAAGAAATTCTGAGTAACGAATTAGTAAGTAACAGTGCACAGATGAAAGTGGTAGTTCACTATTAACTAGTTGATAACTACTATTTTTTAATGCTTTCCAGAGAACTACTGAAGAAGATTAATAATTCATGCAAAACTAATCAATAACTAATGCAGGACAAATGACTAGCACTGCATTAACATTAATAACTGCTACTGTAAACAAATACACAAGGTTTATCAATATGTAATAGCATAGCAGACTTATGATTTGGGAAATAATAATCCTATGCTCTCTCCTAGATAACTATTTATCAACTGAATGATTTTAAAGAAATGGCTTTTTAAATGCAGTTGTCAGCACTTGTCCTGTAGTGATTCAATGCCAGTCCAGAGGAATGCCAGAAAATTGGCCAGAGTCACGGTGACGGCTGGAACATATTGAGTTATCAGCCATCCAAATACCATATACAGTGATTTTATTATTTAACCTATACCTCGCAAAAAAAAAAGAGATTTTATTAATGTCTCCTACCTCATATACGTGTGTGCAAATATCTTGTGAAGGAATAGAAGATTCTACACTTTAGGATTGGCTTTTGATGTAATAATCATGCTAACTAACTAGTAATGACTCAAGTGTTACTACATACTTCTAAAGGAATGACTAATTATTTGGATCCGTATTCTAAAGTGAAGATCATGGTAACTAACTAGTAATTACTCAAGTGTTACTACACACTTCTATGGGAATTACTATCTAAAACTTCACCAAAAACCTCAAAAGCTTAAAAGAATTAGCAACTCCTTTAGAAGTATGTAGTAACAGTTGAGTAATTACTTGTTAGCTACCGTGATCTTCACTTTAGAATACGGATCCAAAGAATTAGTCATTCCTTTAGAAGTATGTAGTAACAGTTGAGTCATTACTAGTTAGTTAGCATGATTCTTACAGTAGTTCTCTGGGAAGCATTAAAAAAAGTACCGGTAGTTATTGATTAGTTAAAAGTGAACTACCACTTTCATCTGTGCGCTGTTACTTACTAATTTGTTAATCAGAATTTCTTGTTAGTTAATAGTAATTACTAGATTGTTAATATTGTGTTACTCATTTGTTCCTGTGTAGTTATTCATTAACGAAGGAACCGTATTCTAAAGTGTTACCGATAAAACATTACTGGTGTGCATCTTGAGACAATGACACTGGCATATTTCAAGATATGTCAAAGTTATTTTCGACTCGAATTTGTATTTTAGTCTGGGACCAACTTAAGAAATGTGTATAAAAAACCAGCGGTAAATTTACTGTATTAGAGGCACTAGAAGGTAATGAAGTCCCATAAAACTTGCTTGCTTCAAATTGTTCTTTATAAATGAATTTGGAACTAGTTTCTGTCTTTGTGGCTTACACTTAGTTTTTCATTTAATTGCCATACCATTGTTTCCCCATTATTGCAGAGTATCTGACCTATACACAGACATATCAAATGATGATCTGGACAGAACTGTAGCAGAAATCCAGAACCTCTACCCCAACTCTGGCTACCGTATGATGCATGGTCACTTGAGCTCAAGAGGTGTTAAAGTACAAGGTAAGACTTGTTCGTCTCAATGTAAAATGATTATTGCATACAATTGGCTACACTTCTACCTGGACACGATTAAATGATGTAACTCCTGAAACAGGCAAATTCGATCTTCAGTTGTCAGAGAATTTATACAGGTAAGATTACGATTTTTTGTTTGTTATTTCTCTCTTTTTTCATATTAGTTGAAAGAGTGCGCAAGTCCCTGCGGAGAGTGGATCCACAGGGAACACAGCTACGAGCCTTGTCGCTACGCACAATAAGGCGTCGACAGTATTCCGTTCCAGCACCTAATGCCATGTGGCATATAGATGGGAACCACAAACTAATTAGGTATGTTTTTAAGATTTAAAGGATAAGTTCACAATTTATCTTTTAGTTTGTTGACATTTTGTTCCTTGATTTATAAACTCACTGTTCCAGAAACAAAGAAGATGTACATTTAAAAAATTATTTTGCATAGGTGGAGGATAGTGGTCCATGGAGGCATAGATGGCTTCAGCAGGATGATTGTGTACCTAAAAGCTGCTATGAAAAACAGTGCTTCTGTTGTGCTGCACAGTTTCATAGAAGCTGTAAATCGCTTTGGATTACCCTCCAGAGTGCGATCTGATAAGGGCCGGGAGAATGTTGATGTGGCCTACTTCATGGTGTCCAATCGAGGGGAAAACCGACACTCCCACATCACAGGGCGCAGTGTCCATAACCAAAGGTTGCTTTTTTCCCCCCCTTTTATTATCTCAGCATCTAATATTAAGACATTGTGGGTTTTCTTTCCCACTGTAAAGAAATGCATATGAGGTTTGAAAATATTCTATAATTTCAGCATGTTTTGTAAGAAATGCTGTAGTGCCAAGTATCTACGTTATCACAATACATCGGGCCTGTTGTCTGAGGAAGCATTTATGTTATAATTACAGGATCGAGAGACTGTGGAGGGACGTTTACCAGCAAGTTTTGGACCTTTTCTCCTGTCTCTTCCTTGATCTGGAGGCAGATGGCACATTAAATCCTGACAATGAGGTGCATCTTTTTGCTCTGCATTGGACCTATCTGCCACAGCTGCAAAGGCATCTCGGATTTTTCCAGGACGCATGGAATCATCATAAAATCAGAACAGCAGGCAACCAGTCTCCATTGCAACTCTGGACACGGTTCCAAGATATTCAAGATCCATACCAGGTGCTTTCAAATTGTTAAGTTAGTTACCTGCTAATCAAAATCACAAATGTAAAAAAAGTAGTGGATGACAAACAAGAAACTGAACTACAAAAATATTAAAAGGAAACAGGTTTGTTTTTGGGGCTTACAGTCTAAATGTGCCATTACACAAAACAAGGCCTTAAAAAGGTCTTAAATTCATAAAGACGTGACATTAAAAGTTGCATGTACTGCAAAAATGTCTTCCCCAATCATTTTCTTGGTTTCCAATACAAATATCTTAACATCCTTGAATAAAAATATGTGATCAGAAGGTTGAGTAAAAGTGATTTGTATACTGTAGTTGAGCTAGATTTTTTTGTAAAATAAATAGGACATTACCAATAAATTAAATCTACTGAAGCAAGATTATTGTAGTTAATTGCAAATATAGAAATATTTCATTAGTTACATAAATATAAATTACTGAAACTTCAAAACAATCTTAGGATTACAATGATAATTACTGACAATAACACTGACTGGAGTTGTATTTTCGAACTTTGGTTTGTTATTCATTGTGTAGACATTTACATTTAAAGAACCTATTGACATTGTGTTCTCCTTAATATGTTACATTCATTGTCTACCTCCATAAAAATGCAGAAATCTTGAACACATGAATAGTCTCTCGTCACTTTCTAAGCATCCTTAACTGTAGATTGGGGAGAATGTAACAGATTTTCTTTACTTCAGGTGGATGACGACTATGGTGTGGATTGGGAAGGACCACACTCCTCTGAGGAAGAGGGTGTGAATATCCCCGAGGTTCAACTACCACGAGAACTTACCATTGAGGAAATTGCAACCTTGCCTCATCCTGACGTTCCATTTTTAAGTGCGGTTCAAATTTATTATGATACTGTCAGTGTGATAAACCAGTTAATGTCATAATCACTAAAACTTATACCTCTTATAAGAACTTCAAGTTCAACTCTTGAGATTCTTGAATATAATTTGTTTATTGATGTACAAATACATTTTTCTGATGCACTGGCTGGTAATTACATTTGATTAAACTTACAAATACACATATTAAAAATATTAAAGTACTAGTACATTTACCTTTTTAACATAACATTTCATCTTTAAGTTACAAATTATGTAACTTGCAACAAATAAATAAATGGACATGAAATTATAAAATCATGTAGTATTTAGTTTCATTTTAATTCATTCATTTTCATTTTTTCTCTCAATAAACGGTCCAGTTAAAAGCCTGATGGCAGGGAGCATACTGGCCTCTTCATTTAAAAATCCCAGGAACTCTCCAAATGATTAAATTAATCCAAATCCACTTTCACTTGTGGACACTGCTGCTTTTAAGTCCGCCTGAAAGTCCATATAGTTAGTGTAGTGAGAAGGCAGTTTTATTTTCTCTGTGCATGTGAATGCAGTGGGCATTTTGATGGAGTTAGACACCTCCACATAGAGATGTTGTGGGAGGATTGCCCAACCCACCCAAAATGTAACAAGCTGCTCAATATCCAATGCTGTAGCTGTAGAAAAAATACAAATAAAATGTGTGCACACAATTTACAAAGTTGTGAAATGAGCCAACTGATGTCTGAAATGAATGTGTGGTAACAAGACCATTACCATTTTCAATGTACATCCTGAGGTACGATGCCATCTGGCATTTCAACTCCAGAGGAACCTCTTGATCATCCTCATCTTCATCCTCCTCGTCCTCATTCTGCGTCATTGGCCATATAACTCTTTCTAAAACCATCTATGGACAAAGGAAATAGCATAAATGCTTTAGAAAATGAACAGTTTTGTTAAAGATTGCATGTTTTCAGAACAATAAATAATCCATTACTTCAGGAAGGATGATTTTGTCAACAGCTCTTGGGAACAGCACTGAGATGAGAGAAGGGCGTTCCTTTATCATGAGCAGGACCCCAGTATCCTTCAGACCCCGTTTGATTTGTTTCATCTGCTTCTCTCTACGACCAATAACCTAAAGAATCAATACGAATACATGTACCGTTACACCCCTAATTATTAGTCATGCATTTGCTGGTTGAGCGGCGAGCACTGAATGAATAACCGTTGAGCACTTTGCTAGCGCGTTATTTAACTCAAAGAAACGCATCCTATATGAGACTAATCAGATGTATACAAAATAAACATAATACTACAAATTATATCGAAATAAACTAAATTTGACGGAGGCGGCCGCCTCATAATTGTCTATGCAGGAAAATGCTGTGTATTTAATTTTAATGCAAGCAAAAAGGTACGAGAGGCTGTGCTGTATCGTGAATAAGTCACGGCTGAAGGGGGTTGTTAGGCTAGAATCTTAAAAAATAAATACAAATTTTGTCAAAACTGCTCAGCACTAAATTTGAGCTAGGGAAGTTTCTGAAATTTGATTGATATGACCCTGTAATATGAACTTTTCTTCATCGGGTCTAATCTGCTTTTCACTTCCTGCCCTCCATCTGAATTTCAAACTTCATTAGAATCATGTGACTGCAAACAAGCTATTTCTTCTCATTCAACATCCCGTTTCACACAGAAATACACCACAATACTGAATACCGCATGTTGAAGAATGGTTTCTGCAAGCCACTTCCGGTTTTCTGTAGTTAATGTTGGCAAGTCCCAGCTAAAAGCAAGATCATTCACTTTGTATCGTTCCACATCTGTTAGATTCCGTGGCTCTTCAAGCTACAAAAAAGAGCAAGCAAATTGTTTAAATAAATCATTTAAATTGCAAAATAAAAAGTACTGTGATGACTTAACGTAGAAATAAACTAACCAGAGAAACAATATCGACTACATCTTGGTCTGGGCAGTCTCTCATGTCTCTCTGTGATGACTGGCTCATCACTTCCTAGAAGTAGGTTGAACATGGAGGTGCTCAGTCCTGTCAAGAGTGGCCCTCCATGAATGAACGAGTGGCCAATCATTCGACCAATGACTTTAAAAAGATCACTGTCCAGAAGAACTCGTGAGGACGATGGTACCAAGTGGTCTTCTTCTCCATTGAAGAACAGCATTTTTCCAGTGTTATCTTAAAAAGTTTTAAAAGTTGGCAATTAGTTCACACTATAATTAAGACAAAAACTTCTCAATTGCACAAGAAAAGTAAATAGAATACACTTACCAATATTTAAAATGAAGCCGTATTGTATTCTGGACATAAGCATCGCAAAGTAGTAACGCGTTACACCATCCCCAATTGCAGCATCACCTGACGCAATAAAAAAAGCATTCTTTATACATACAAATAGTATATAAATAATAATTCTATGTCTAATGAAAAATATTCCGTTTTAACCATACCTTTAAGGTTGATTGATAGTGGGGATGCCCAGTCAGTTCGGTTTGACTTGTAGAATGACAGAAACTGTCTATCTCTGTCTTCCATACTGCTGGTTAGATCTAGTGTAACCTTAAGGGGTGTCTGATTTTCTGATCCATGTAATAAATTTCTTCTAAACTGGTATACTGCCTGCTGTTCATCACTCTCGATTTTCCAATCTGAAAATATAAGTTTCAAACATACAAATTAACCCTCATCTTGGCAGTAGAATCGTGGTTGGCTAGTAATTTTTTTTATTGCCAGACAGATATTTCCTCATAAAACTATGTAAGGGTTAATGCCCGTATGGGTTGCCTCCGCCGAAGTCCACTAATACCTAGACAATGGACATCTCGAAGGGCATTAACCCGCTTATACCATGGTCACTTGTCAATTAACACATTTTTAAAACATTAGTTTATATTTTAATTAGTTTTACAATCGAAATCTAAAGTTTTTACAAACATTAAACTGGTGGTTGCGCTTAAAATATTAGGCCATTCCAGAGTTTCCGCAAGAAAAAAATGGTGCCGGCCAAAGTGACCGGCAGAGGTTTCGTTTAACTGACATTTTGATGATATGCCGGTCAAATATCGCCTCTTAATTAGTCAAGTTGAGGAAAACTGGAGGCAGGCTATGTAACTTAAAAAAATGACATAATCAGGCCATATAGAATGCAACATGTTATCATTAGTCTAACTTTCAAATAGACGGAAGTAAACATGAACGTCCAATTGGCGTCAATTAACACCAATTGTTTTTTACTATGGTTTCACACACATTCACTTTTTGAAACATTTCAGGATTCCGTACCAGGATACGTTAAATAGGGAAGCCAGGGACCGGTATGTGGACAAAATCGGCACTTTTAACGGTTTGGATCCATATGAAATTTCCTTACAAACCGTTAAAAGTGCCGATTTTGTCCACATACCGGTCCCTGGTTTCCCTATTTAACGTATCCTGGTAAATTCCACATCCTTTTAGGGATTTTAACATATTTTTTCTTTTCTTTCTCCCAACTCTGCTGCTGCTTCTCCTCGATCGACTTGCTGTATGTTTATGTGATACACACAAAGTATGTACACAATTGTGTTTTTTTTCCATTCTTTTGAATATGGTTAAGAGTAAAATGATTACATTATTGGCTTATGTTGTATGCAAATTAACATACTTATATTTACATTTATATGGACAAAAATAAAGGACTCTTATTTTGACATTCTGGCTGGAGAGTCGCGGGCGAAACCGTGAACTGCGCATGCTCCCTCATTTCTGCAGAGGAGCTGTGAAAGAGCAGACGCGACTCTCTCATTCTTTTCATTAAATCCTGTTTTACAGATAACAGTAATCTGTCAGCTGGGTCTCCTGTGCCGGGACCTGCAACAGATTCTTGGGGGCTCGTCCGGGATCCACTCCAGGTGACGCTAGGAGGCGGATCCAGAGATATCAGGACCGTGGGACAAGGTGGCACTGGGGCTAGAGGCCGGTGGCTGCTGCATCAACGGTGACAACGAGACACGCACAGAGGGCTGAACAGGCGACTGTCTTCATCCTGAGGTTAAGGCAGTCTCGGGAAGGACAACAGAGAACGACGTCATGGCAGATCGTACGAGGAAACGCTTGGTGTGGGACATCAGAAAAGACCTGATGACACTGCCTGCTGATGAACTGTTTCGCATCGCCAAGGTCATCGGGCCAGTACGAGGTAAAGACTCATTTGAACTTGACCTGGAAGACAGTGAGGGTTGTTTCGAGTACATCGATGCCTTCATGTCAAGTGAATCTTTGCTCGAGACGGAGGACCAAGGTATGAGTGAACTGTTGTCATTGCAAGAGACTGTAAAATCAGCAAAACAGATTTGCACTGCTGTATGTACATCTGAAGTTGATACAGACACTCACCTTACACATGTATTACATCCACCTGCCACTGATAACCCTTATCTGACATCACATGTTGCACCTGACTCTGGGAGTGTTAAGGGGGGTGTACCTGAAACAAACACAGACATGCGTAAAATGCTTGCAGAGTATGAAGAAATTGGTAGAAAGATTCGCCAGTACATGACACCTACCCAGAACACTAACTTGACCCACACAGTTGCACAGGGAGGCGCCACTACAGCACACATGTACCAGACTGAGCAACAAAAAAATTTAGCTCACGACTTCGCGTTCCCTATGGGGGGGTTTAAGTATATCCAGCCCCGTGAGTTTAAGATACATGGAGGCCAGATTGGAGATAACTCGTCAGACATCACGTTCAACAATGTCTGCAGGCAAATGGACAGCGGCCTAAAGGAGAACTTCAGTGATGCCGATGTTGTTAGAGGGGTGCTGCGAATTATCAAGCCAGGCATTTTTAAAGATATGCTGATGAACAAAGATGACATGACTGTAGCTGAACTAAAGGGGTTCTTGCAATCACACTTGGGGGACCGAAATAGCACCGAGCTATTCCAAGAACTAATGTGCACCAAGCAGAGCGAACACGAAACCCCTCAACAGTTCCTGTACCGAGTCATGGGGTTGAAACAAAAAATACTCTATGCGGCTAAACAAGCTGATTCAGACAGGAAGTATAGTGCAGCTACGGTGCAGGATGTGTTCTTACACACTGTTTACCAGGGTCTAAGCCACCGGTGTAAAGATATTCGCAGCGAGCTTAAACCCTTGCTAGCCGATAGTGATGTAACTGACGATGCTATCCTCAGGCACGTTATGAAAATCACAAGTGACGAGAATGAGAGGCTGCGTCGACTGGGCCCACCAACCAGAGCAAAACCATCCATGGCTAATAGTGCCCAAGTTAGCGATGAAACTGGCGGAGATGTGAAAGCTGCAAAAGGGTTTGCTGCACAAAAAGAGCAGAACGATCAGATTAAGCTTCTTACGGCCAGGATTGATGCTCTAACCAGTATGGTAGACGCTATACAACACTCCATGCCAGTACGAACAGAGGGTGGCTGCCAATGCTCCTCCAGCCAACCACCCTCTCGCCGGGTGAGCCGCTGGCGTTGCTGTCCACGGTGTGCGGACGAAGGGCGACAGGACTGTACTCACTGTTTCATCTGTAGTGAGGATGGACACCAGGCAGTGGGGTGCCTACGGCGACCTCAGCGACAGGGAAACGGGAACCGGCCACTGCAAAGGGGCAACCAGTGACCGCACAGCAAATGCCCCAACCAGACGTTGTTCCCTCAAAGCCGGCCAGGCCTAGGGAGAGAGAAGTGCTAGAACAAGAACACAAGCACCAGGGACAAACAAACAAATCTATAAATGAGGTGAGGTCCAGGAGCCAAGTGGCAAGTGTTCTGGGCTCCTGTAAGACCAAAAACGACAACATAATCAAACTGATCGGAAGCAAGGCACTGACTCAGTGCAACTTGAATGGCTTGACAGTGAGGGCATTACTCGACACGGGTGCCCAAGTCAGCATGGTGGACCGTGAGTGGAAAGATAAATATCTGCCAAGTGTTGAGGTGAGGCCGCTTCGGGAACTTCTTGGGTGTCAAGATGATCTGAAAGTCTATGCTGTAAATGGAGGCCTTATCCCATTTGACGGCTGGGCGGTCATCACAGTCAACCTGCTAGGAAATGAGGACCCAAGTCTATCTATTAATGTCCCATTCCTGGTGAGTAAGATGCCAATGGAGAGACCACTCCTGGGTTTCAACTTAGTTGAAGAACTGATTCAAGGGCAGTCCGAGCAGTTGATGCCAACACTTACCTCACTACTGGCCGGGGCCATTGATATCCCTCGCGAAAAGGCACAAACTTTAGTCAGGGTGATCCAAGCTGCTGAAGAAGATAACGGAGACGGGCACTTGAAGGTTGGTCCAAGAGGGGTAGTTATCCGGGCAGGACAGGTGACTTGGGTGAAGTGCAGAATCCCTTTGAAGATGACACAGTCTGACACGGTGGTCTTGTTTGAGCCTCATGAAAATAGTGACCATTTAAGATTCTTGGACATTGGAGAGGGGCTTTTAGAAATACAACCCCAAAGTGACCCTTGTGTTTCCATACCCATTGGAAATAGCACAGTGTGTGATGTGACCCTGCCACGTGGCACAGTGATTGGATCATTACAGCGGATTGAGAGGATATTAGTGGAGCCTGGGAAAACAAGTGAGCCAACGCAGACAATAATCCATTCTGCGACCACTCAAGAGGAGGAGGTGAAAACATCATTGTGGCATCCACCCGTCAACCTGGACCACCTGGAAGAGGGCCAACAAGAGGTTGTTCAAAGAATGTTGTATGAGGAATCTGGTGCCTTCAGCAGAGATGACAATGACATTGGTTGCATACCCAGCTTGCAGATGCCAATCACACTTAAAGACGACATCCCGGTTCAGAGGGCGTATTCATCAGTGCCAAAACCCTTGTTTAACGAGGTGAAGAGCTACATACAGGATCTCCTAGCGAAAGGATGGATCGTCAAATCAAAGTCACCATATGCCGCTCCAGTAGTCTGTGTCCGCAAGAAGGATGGCAAGCTGAGGCTCTGTGTTGATTAC